GAGTGCTCCATACCTTGGAAAATTTTCAACAAGCAAGAACTCAACGCCTTCAAAAACTACAATAGACGAGCGCCCAACGCCTTAATGAAATACGCCAACTGGGGGGCAAAACGCAAGAAGTTGGCACCGCGTTAGCCAAACGCGCCACCAGCTGGGGGGCAACTAAGGGTACATAGTGCTTCGTCCAAAATTATTAGTGAAGATTTAAAAAATAAATAATAAGCTAGTGATGAGTTAAAACTCACCACCAGCTTGGGGGGCAATTGTTGGGGGTGTTACTAAATACTCCGTTCACAGACTAACTAGCAGGGCGCACAATGGGCGATACGCAATGCTCGATACCCACTACAGGTATATAAGGGCTTGAAGCTCTCCAAAGGAGGGGACTTCTCCTCTCTAGGGACTTCCCACTTTCCACTATCTCTCTACACCTTACCTCTCTACCTTATTCTCTCAACTCTCTCCCGCAACTTAAACTAACTTGATCGTCAGAGCTTAATCCGGGGGGCATCCCCGACTCTTTCACAAGTTTCTTCCTCCCGATGAGATCAGACGAACGGATCGTGAGTCAACCCCACACCAATAAATATCATTGTTCATACCGGAGCTAGATGGTACAAACAAAACTATTATAGAAGTTTTTACATAGATATTTTATAGTGTGGGGGTAATAATAACATCAAATTTTAGAAAGTAATGTATGATTACCGGAGTCCGACGCATGGCGACCTGGTGGACGCGCAGCTTGGTAGCGCGTTTGTTTTGGGTACAAAATGTCACGGGTTCAAATCCTGTCATCCCTACCTATTACTTCGCCTCTGAGCAATAAGGCGAGATCCATTTGAGATAGGAGTATAAATATTAATTAGAATATTATATGTCAAAGTTAACTAATCATGAGCTTATAGTGAAATTGGATGTAGGAGATAAAAAAAACTGTTATAGAACGTTATTACATAAAATCAAACTTTACAAAATGACGTATGATGAAACTAATATGTCAAAGTTGACTATCATGAGCAATCATAAAATTGGATGCAGGAGATTAAAAAAAACTATTATAGAATGTTGTTACATAAATATTTTATAGTGTGTGTCCTAATAATAAAATTAAATTTTAGAAAGTAACGTATGATTAATCTGTTATGTGAAAGTTAACTAATCATGAGCTTATATGTAGAAGATAAAAGAAACTATTATAGAACATTGTTACATAAATATTTTAGAATTTTGCTACGGTGACATGCATGTCACCGTGCATGGACTTTTCGGTCGACCTAATCCTAAAGGCGGTCGACCGAATTGACTAATTTGGGCAGCACGAGAAAGCATTGCGGTCGACCTAATCCTAAAGGCGGTCGACCTCAATTCATAGCATAATTGATGAGTCCTTGTTATCATTATTTATGACTAGTTATGATGGTTTAAAGCGTAATTTAGACGAGCAAAAGAACCACACAAATCGACATACATAAGCAAAAAAGACACGGGGCATTGGTTGACCTTCTTGTATTCGGTCGACCTCGTACCGGATTAGGTCGACCTCGACACCAACACTTGATCTTCATTTTACGTCAAATGATTGGATAAATTGATAGAACACTTATCGTCTATCTGGTCGACCTCTTTCTTTATCTGGTCGAGCATATTGTTAATGACTGCCATCAAGTGGTCGACCTATATACCTTTACGGTCGACCATGTTGTTTCTGACGCCAACGAAATGGCCAACCGAGGGTTATTCTGGTCAACCAAAAATAACAACTTAAACTAAGAACGGTCGACCAGGTGGCCTTTGAGGTCGACCGCAATGCTTTCTCGTGCTGCCCAAATTAGTCAATTCGGTCGACCGCCTTCAGGATTAGGTCGACCGAAAAGTCCATGTCACGGTGACATGCATGTCATAGTAGGCATACCCAATATTTTATAGTGTGCGGTATAATAATAACATCAAATTTTAGAAATTAACGTATGATTTAAGTGTTATGTCAAAGTTAATTAATCATTAACTTATGGTAAAATTGGATGTAAGAGATAAAAAAACTATTATAGAACATTGTTACATATATATTTCATAGTGTGCGGTCTAATAATATGTTTATATACGCATAAGAAACAACTATTGTACCATAAACTTTATGTAATGTATAATACTTAATATGGTTCCACAATTTTCACATATGCTAAACTATATTATGTATATATAAAAAGCATTTTAACTTAGTAATGAAAAGCTTTAGAAAAGCGTTGAAAGTTAATGATGGAATGGTAATAATAAGGGACAAACATATTAGAATTCAGGTTCCTAAAAATTGCTACCGTGGGCGCTATCACAGCGGGTTCAACATGCAGCATGTGAACAGTAACCCTGAATTAGAGTTACTAAAATTAAACCTGCTAAAACATCGTAAGGAACAGTGAAAATAATTAAGAGGTTGCTTAATTATTGTATATAATAATAATTGTATATGATAATGTGATGATATGATAAAATGATGGTATGACCATAAGGTCATAATACGTGGTTTTTATGTGTGTGCTAAATCGTAATTTATGATGAGTATATACGTAATGTGAAATGGCTTTCAAGACAATCAAGTGGAAGAATGGCATGAAGGGTTGCCTATTGTGAAGTGTATGAGATGAGATGAAGTGACCTATGAGCCATACATGTGAATGTGATGTGGAATGGCCCTTGAGACACACAAGTGATATGTTTAGTTGTCACTAACTATAAGAATTGCTTGGACACCTAAAGCAAACGTAATGGCGCCCTGTCATGCACTCATTATAAGTAAAAAGAGGCTTCAAACCTAAGAGATAAAAGTGTTAGAGAACTCCTTTAATGAGCAATGACAGGCTTGGCTACGAGTTTTACGAGATATGGCACTCTGTGCCCCACGAGTTTATGAAATATGGCATTATGTGCCCCACGAGTTTATGAGTTCATGAGATATGGCACTCTGTGCCCACGAGTTCATGAGATCTGGCACTTTGTGCCTATGAGATTACGAGTTCACGAGATCCCAGGGAGTGCATGACTTGGAAAATTAAATAATAAAACCTACTGAATCGAGCTAACCATATGTATGTGTGTGATTGGATGCTGATTCTTGGTTGATTATGGATGCAACATGAGTATGCAAATGTTAATCTTACTATTTATCATATTTGTGTGATACGTGATTGAGACGGGAATCAGTATTTGCCATATTTGATATATAGAATGTGAACCCTTGCATGTGGTGTGTGAAGGTTGATGTGTTTTTATATGTCATATCAAGTGATATGAAGACGCATAATCTTTGGGTTTCATTGTTTTTAGGTTTCATTGTTTTTTTCAACTTGATAATTTTTCTAGTTAAACCCAATCTTATCATAGAATAACACTGAGTCGAGTGTCTAAAATCAAAAATTTCATAAGGCCTATAGTAACTACCGATCCAAATGAGGGCTGAGCCGGAGCCTGGGGTGGCCACCCCCTAGATCCACCAGTGCAATAGCACCATTAGTTAGCACCATGTTCTGTTACATTACTTAGACTCCAATGTCTAACTAAACAACTAAGTACTTTAACTATGAAACTTGCATGGACAAAGAGAATATGGAAGGGCGGTAATCAATGTGAAAGGGTAGCAAAGGAATATCCATGGCAAGCAAAAAAATCGCAGTAGTGCAGCGGAATAAAACCGGCAACTTAATTGGGTACTATCTTAGGATGTGATTTACTGCCTGTGCGGCTGTGCCTAATTCTTAAGAGGTAGAATTTGATGCGGATTGCGTAGCTTCGTCGGACGCGGCTTCTGAGTGGTGGGGGAGGCAAACCGGTGGCAAATTTCGTCGAGGCGAAATCCTCACCGGACGTGGCCGAGGAAGGCGCAATTGATGCGAGATTTGGGGGTTCCAGGTTTTGTCGCTATTGGTGGGGAGACTTGGGAGACGAACTGAATGCGTCAACGGTCGGTGAGAAAAAAGAGAAGGAAGCTATGAGTGAAGGTGGGATCGATTGGTGGAGAAGAGGGCAGACTTTTTCTTGAAGAGCGGATGGAGAGAGAATGAAAGAGGCTTTTTTTTTTTAAGGCAAAATACAATTATATAGCCAAAACTTTCGCGTTTGTGTCAAAAATAGCCAATTTTGTAGAAATATCACTTTATGCCACTTCTGTTTAAATCTTTAACGGTGTTAGTGTTAACTCTGACTAGACAAACGGAGATGCGGCCGTGGCGAGCACTTCTAGCCAATTTTGTCGTAGGATTTTGCTGATGTGGCAATTTTATATAAAAAAATATACTAAATGAAAATGTATTACCTTTTAATAATATGAAAATAATAAAAAAACAAAACGATGGGAAAAATCAACCCATCCATCTCCCTCTGTTTCCGAAGGAAGGGAGGAAAGGGAGGGGAGGTGAAGGAAAATTAGGAGGGGAAGGGAGGTTTGGAGGTGAAGGAAATTGGAAGGAAAATGGTGTTTTATGGAGAAAAGTGGGAAGGAAAATGTGTATTGGGAATTGTTATGGATATGTTATTTTATTGAGTATGTATTAATAATAATTTGATTATATGTTGATATTATTTTCATTGTTATGAATTGTGAATTAAATTTGTACTTTTCTTACTAATTTTGTTCATTATGAATTGTGAATTAAATTTGAACCTATTATTAAAATTTTGTCTCTATTTTATTGATTCGTCACATAGTAACTAAAAACGGAAACATACAACAAATCACACTAGCCCCTCGCTAACATTCATTCTATAAAAATCTACACTCTTAATTTGTTTTTACCAGGATCGTAACACGATTTTACATATCACGTAGCAGATTTATGTATTGCATAAAACAACGGTATACATGACGTAATCGCCCATATGGATCGTACGACGTATAGTACGATTTTACGTACTCTAATTTTAATAATAATCACTTATCATTAATTATAATTATTTTACTGAAATTGACTGACAATTTTACTACTTCCGTTTACTTCTTATTAGTTATTACTTACCATAATTTATTGCACCCTAATATACCCCTCATAATAATCACTTAAATAAGGGGGAAAGTATTGTTAATTGTAAAGGAATATAGTTTGTGAGGGTTGGTAAAAAAATGACCATCAAAATCCAAAAAATAAATAAAGGAGTAAAATTTGAATATGTAAGTTTAAAGTGGGCAATAGTGGGTACTAACAAAAAAAAAAAAAGAGGTTTCCCCCCAAATCGGAAGGGTGGGTGGAACATGATTTTTTCCTTCCTTTTTCCTTTCCACGGTACTGTATACAGTCTTAACTTAAAAAACGGAGGAAAGTCCTCGATTATTGTGTTTCCTTCCCTTCCCTTTCCTTTCCTCCCTTTTCCCTCCTTCCTAAACAGGGGGTTAATATCCCTAGTCTTCCCCACCGCCATCCAACTTCCTTCTTAGTTCTTCCTCCTCCTTTTCTTCTGGTCTGCCTCTCCCCGCAACTGGTAATATAATCAAATTAATGGTGGAGACGGCCTCCTCCAAGTCCCGACGCTTCCTCATGAAACCTCCTCTATTGTTCAAATTGGGCAGTGGATCCATATACTCACTCAATCCCACACCCACCCACCAAAACATTTTCCAATCCCGAATTACCAGCCTTTTGATCTGACAATGTGGGGAAAAAAAAGTTTGCTTTGACGCTCGGGGCTCGAGCTGAGGTAGTTAGAGAAGGGAAGAGAAATAAAACCAGAAATGAAAGCAGGAACTCGACTTGCAAACGCAGATCTAATCACGCGACCTGAGTCTCGCCGTCGGGTTTATCTTCGAGTTTGTATTTACAGGTGGCGCCCGCAGCTGTGGAATTGCTACAGTTCGTGTGCTTCGGCGGGCTTGTTGCGCGCAGTAGAGAAACAGATTGTGGAAATGGCTAGAAATCGTTGGCAGGGGTTTAGGAAGAGGAGAAAACGAACCTGGATTTTGGGTTTTGGAAATGGCTAGAAATCGCCGACAGGGGTTCAGGAAAAAAGAGAAGACAAAGCTAGATTTGGGTTCTGAAAAGGCTAGAAATTGCCGGCAGGGGTTCAGGAAGGAAGAGGAGAAGACAAAGGTGGATTTTTTTGTTATGGGTAACGACGAAGGTGGATTTGGGTTCTGGAAAGGCTAGAAATCGCCGACAAGGGTTCAGGAAGGAAGAGGAGAAGATGAAGCTGTATTTGGGTTCTAGAAATTTCAAATTCTTATGTTGAAACAGGAAGAAACCCTTATACGAGAACGAACTTAATTACCCCTTCCTCCGCAAGACCTCCGACGCTCGTCTGCTGCTTCAGTCGATCCACCAATCCAATCTCCAGAAACACAAGCTCCCATCTCCACTAACCGGACCAGGTGCATGACGGAGATCTCTCTCGCTAAAAGAATATCCTGGATATGGAGGAAGGCGACACAATTTTATTGTTAGGTATTGCTGAGTTTGCGAGGCATTGAGTGCTAGGAGATAGGGATGGCAACAAAACCCGAACCCACGGGTACCCACCCGATCCAATCCGGTCAATGCGGGTAAAATCCGTGTTGACGGGGTTTTGGGCCGGGTTTGGGTTTAAATCCGTTCACTATTCATCGGGTTGGGTTGGGTTTGGATTTAGGTAAACCCGACCCATTGGTACCCGTCCACACTCATATAATTAATTTTCTCGGTATATTTAATATTCTAAACAACTAATCTTATTTATGTTTGTGGAAACATTTCTAATTTTTCTTTCTAATTGTGTAGAACGAAGTTGATGTTATCGAGTGGAGAGTGAAGAAACTTAATTGAAAGGAAGAAGTTTTCAATTAATCATGTTATTTATGGATAATTTATGATTTGCTTCAATTTTCTTGAGTTTTCTAGATTGGTGTTGAACAATTTGTATAGTTAATTTGTGATTTGCTTGAATTTATAGAATGGTGTTTTATATATGAATAATTTGTATTGAGAGATTGATATTTGGTTTTAATTTTGATAGGAACTTGTTATTGTAATTGTTTACGACAAAAACCCGTGGGTACCCCATGAACCCGTGGATACCCAGCGGGTTGGGTTGGGTTTGAGTTTTTCAAACCCAGCGGGTTTTACCCCGGGTTTTTTTCACGGATAAACCCATGGGTTTAGGTTTGGGTTTGGCAAAACCCGACCCAACCCGACCCATTGCCATCTCTAGTAGGAGAGAGGATGAGAAAATAAATTATGAATTTTTATTTATTTATTTTTAAAGTAAAATATGACATGGCATCGATGTGGCAAGTGTTGTTGAATTTTGATGACGTGTGTGGTGAGCTGGCAGCCCAGTAAGCGTATGGTTAAAATAACTAACGGTATTACAGACTCCATTAAAGTTTGTTACGAAAATGGCTATATTTGTTATGAAACTTTCAAAATTCTGGCTATAAGTGACATTTCTTCAAAATTGGCTATTATTGGCACAAACGTGAAAATTTTGACTATACAAGTGTATTTTGCATTTTTTTTAATCTGACACGGATAGCCTAATTTTTCAAGAAGGCTGACGTGGTAGGAATGCGATTAACTCCTTTAATATATTTTATATTTATATGGGTAGATAGATAAAATGGCCAAAGGATAATCCTCTCATTCTCATGCTTTATGGAGCTTGGCATCATAAGATCATATCGCACAAAGAGAGAAATGATGTTGGCTATCTGCCTGTCTGGCTGATGATGACATTTCCTCTTTCCTATACTTGTCTTTCTTCACACACTCGATTTCAGCCTTTTCTTTTTGAACCTTTTCCTTTTTCCATCTAATATGCGATGCGACTTGCGAGTTGCGAGGGTTACCCAGTATACAAATAGAAAAGGTAAAAAAGAGAAGAGGGCAGATGCCAAATTGCAATCTTTTCCTTTTTCCCACCCCACCCATTCACCCTAATGTTGCAGCAAGCAACCCAACTTCCATATCACAAGCTTCTCTATCTTCCAGTTCTCTGAGGAACATGTTCTGCATTCTTCAAACTTCGGGTTCAGCTCCTTCCGGCACTGTCCCCTGCTTCAAGATTTCTGAGCCCAGTGTCACCTCCCATGCTTCTTGCCTGATGTTCAAGATCATGTGTAAATAAAAGAAGTAACTCAGTTTAAGTTGAGGATCATGAAGAAGACTAGCTAGTGGGTGGTTTGGACATTGTAAAGCAACATGATGGATGTAGTTAGTGAAAGTGGGACTGCAGCAATTCATGGGTATCGAGCTTCATTTTACAAAGTTGTTCACAAACATGACGTTCTAGAACATTACTTTTTGTGACGGCAAATGATGATGATGATGGGCATTGAAGCATTTGGCCACATGGTGCCACAAGTTAATTCTAATATCACTGCTAGTTTCATCGTGCTTCCAGGCAACTTTGAGGCTTTAATAATGATGGGAGGAGAGGAGAGGAGAGTGGTTGTGGTGTGTAAGAGAAGTAAAGACATCTATCTATCCACTATACAACATATTAAAAATCAATCAACATCTCATTATGTCGGCTTACTGGGATCCTTCTTACTTACCTCTTTGAAACAATGACTTGCGGATCACCTGCCGGATGTGGCGCTCGTGCCTTTGCAATAGTTCATCCACTCTCTGAGACGGCTGAGATAACAGCGGTCCAGAAAACTCAACCTTGTCTCCCTGATGCTTCGACCCCTGTAGGATATCAAGCACAATCAGAACAGGAAAGCTAACATCTTTGTAATAATTCATCTACTCCAATTGACTGTTTTCCTGGTCCAACTTCTCTACTCAGATCCCACTGTGGAACCTAATGTACAGGACAGCCCATTACAGTAGGCATATCTTCATCAGCATCAGCATGACGTTCAAAAAAAGCTAAGGAAAGAAACCAGGTACTCCATAAGCTGCTAAATCCTAATCAGTTTCACGTTTCTTTATTTGGCTCTTAACTCTATGACTCTTTTGCAAATAGTATCCGAAACCGATCTCACTTGCTATAGCTTACAAGGTTTCTTCTTTTTACACCAAGAGTTTTCGAATTACAGGTTGCTTTTCAGAAGAAATGCGTCGAATCAGAATCTTCCTTAGCAGCCAGATTTATAAGCTACAACTGGACATGTATGTACGGTTCTAATAATATGAAAAAAGTTATGCACGTACCAAATTAGTTCTCCTGGCATCCAGTCCCTCTCTTTGATAAAGCCCCAATGACAGTTCCTGAGAATGGTAATCCTCAGAAGCATCAAAGGAGTCTGGGCGTTCGAATTCCCTCCACTGTTTCTGCAACGAACGCTTGGACATATCGTACGAGTCACGCCCTCTAGAACTGCTACTCGCCCCGCTATCAAGGTCTCCACAATCATGTCGCTTTGAGTCAAAGTTATTATTCATGTCACCAATAGGAGCAGCTGAAGGATCTAATCCGTTGCTGATACAGCATTTTTTAATGGACCTATGTTGGGAGGCATCATCCTTTCGCCTTCTTGCCCAGGCAAAGCCACTAGAAGTGGAAACTTGTAAAGGCCCAGAGAAGGGAATATCTCCCTGGGATGCATTCTTGACATGGAAAACCTCATCCAATTTCTCAAGTGAAGGTTTTCTTGCATCCATGTTTGACCTGGTGGTATCTCGTCTTCCATTTGGAAGAGAGCAGGCATTGCTGGTGATGATGGTTTGACCACATTGGTGTGCTCGAGCTGTCAGATGGTCCTGGAGCATGGGAAGGAAGTGAATGGCAGGCTCCTGAAAGAAATAGCGGGAAACAGACGGAGGAGACACAGAGTTCGACCACAGACCTCTGTTGGTCCCAGTATGTTGACTGGACAAGGTTTGCGTGCTGCTGGCTTTCTCATTTCACAACCACGATTTCTCCCACTCATCTTTTTCCTGGAATCCAAAGTTGCCACAGAAAAGACACGAGTCAGGAACTTTGGTTTGGTTTGGAACCAAACAACTAGTACGTCTCGTCCGTGTCAGGGCATATGGAAAGCCAAAAGAATCCTAAACTAAAGAGAAAGATTAGCAGCATCTTACCTCCTAGCTTCCTCTCGGTTCTTTGCATCAATTTCTTTGTTAGGAGGGTATTTGGGCAGGCTAGCTGGTTCGCAAGCATGAGGCTTGGTGGTGAAATACTGAAGATTCGGGTAAAAACTAAACTGAATTAGAAATGCCAGTGGTGAAAACGGAACACTTGCAAAAGCATGAGAAAGAAATTTGAATTTGTTTGGCCATTCACTTGCATGAAAAGATGGCATTATTCGTGCGGAAGAATAGATGATGAAAAATAATACTGACCTCGGATGAAAGAGCAGACGAGGCAGTTCCACGCTTGTATGGCTCCACAGACAGTAGAGTATCGATGAGACTCACTGCACTAGGGTGTAAATCTTTAAAGGTCTCGAGAAGGCAGCTTTCATAATGTTGCTGCGGTTTGAACAAGGTGGAATGAGGTAGCTTGGACTTTTTCCAATACTCATCAGGTGGGGACCCACACAGCTTGAAAATTTTGTGCAACTGTTCAACCTGAATGAGAAGCAATGCCAGTCAAAAACAGATTAGTTAGTCAGTATCAACGAGTAGGAAATAATATGAGAGTTCTCTGCAGCTGAAAACTGTTAGTTTGATCATCATGAGCAGAAGAAGAAGAAGAATGAAACTATTGATAAAACTCGTTTCAGACATTACTTGACAAGCTGTGATGTAGTGAGGCAGGTGATTTACCTCGGTTCGTCCTTGCAAAATGGGTTTGCCAAGGAGAAGTTCAGCAAATACACAGCCAACACTCCAAAGATCCACAGCTGATCCATAATTTGTTGAACCAAGCAAGAGTTCAGGAGGGCGATACCACAAAGTCACGACTCGACTGGTCAGAGGTTGCCGATTCCCAGAAGTACAGAAGTTTGCCAGCCCAAAGTCTGCAACTTTCAGAACCCCTTGGTTGTTTACAAGAAGGTTGGAACCTTTAATATCCCTATGCATAACACCTTTGGAATGGCAATGCTCAATTCCTGACAATAACTGTTTCATGTAGCACTTGATCTGCAGAGGGGAGGGGGGGAAAGAAACAAAAACATACCACATAAATAAACATATTTGAATGCACAAGCACAAAAACATATGCCAGAAGATGAAAATTCAAAGCAGAAGAGGGGAACTAACCTGTGACTCGGTAAACCTGACATCCGGGCAAGAAAGCAGCCCAGTAATGTCATGCTCCATATACTCAAACACTAGGTATATGCTGCAGGACAAATGGGAAGTAATCAATCCATCCAATTTCATGACATTGGGATGATCAAGCCGGCGAAGGATCATAATCTCCCTTGCCATAAACCTCACACTCTCGGGCTCGAAATTGTCAAACCGGACCTTCTTCAAAGCAACAATCCTCCCAGTCTCAAGCTCCTTTGCTCGGAACACGCTGCTATATGTACCTTGGCCTATCTATTGAAACAAGAGGGGAAACCAACCAACCGGTTAGCTGATATAAGGAGCATCCAGCTAAAGCAAACCAAAGAGATACGAGAAGATCCATCATCCGTGCAATCTGGCAAAGTGCAGATGGAAGGGAAAATTCAATTTCCTGATTCCTATTTGGTGATATTAATAATAATAATAATAATAATGTGCAGCCGTTCCTTCCCAGAAGTAGTTGAATAAGGCAAAAGTTTAGGCATGCGGAATTCTTAAGATGACAACATTTTCCTATCAATCAAAATCCAAAATAGCCTCTTGGAGGAAGGGGTAAACACAGAATCTTGGAAAGCAGCAGCCATCTTTCCTGTGCAATTCGATTCATCGAGAACCACGAATTGTCTTTCTTTTTTTCTGTTTGTATCAATGAACCAATAAATAAATAAAAGAGAAGAAGGAAATTGAAACAACCTTGTCCAATTTTTGGAAGGAATCGGCCTTGAGAGGGACCCAGCCGTGAATGGCTTCTCCGGCGACGGCGCTGAGCCAGGCGGGCCAGCCGGCGGCGACCTGCTCCCCTTGGACGTAGCTGTGCAAATTCCTCAATCGAAAACTGAGGGAGTCCGCGTTGGAGCTGGCACGACCGGAGTCGCCCAAGTCGCAAGCTGCTACCACATCAGCATTGCTGTCTTTGAGATTCGCAGGTTTGTGGGGCTTGTCGCCGACCCAGATCCGGCCGGAATGATCGAGCGCCGGGGTGACGGAGACGGCCTGCTTGGAGGTGACGCAGCCCATTTGAGGGAGAGTGACCGGTTGGAAGTGAACCCAGGACAGGATTGCCGGCGCCGCAGTGGCACCGGAGTCGAGAGTGACAAGGAAGGAGGGACTCCGAGTGGTCACATTCAGGAGGAACCAGGAAAGAAAGAGAGCGAGAGATGGAAATGGGAGGGAGGGAGGAAAGGAAGGAGATGGTAATTTAATAATCAGCAATAATTTAATTAATTGTGACGAGAAACGAAATTCGAACAGCTCCGCAAACAGAGAAGTTTTTATACCCGCAACCGGAAGCAGCAATAAGCAATTGTTTTGTTTTGTAGACTCACTGGTCTGGAAGGAAGGAGGGAATGTTTTTTTTCTTTTTTTCTTTTTCATTATATGAACTGATTGTATCCAATCCAACTGAATATATCAGTTGCTAAACCAGTACAATATGGACAGGACAACATTGTTCTAACTCCTCGACTGCTCTGGTCGCCAAGGAAAGGAAAGGAAATTCATTTCATTTCATTCACCCGGCCGGTAATCGCGGGGGAGATTGAGTGGGCTGTGTGCCTGAAACATCATTACAATTACTAACCGGCCGGTAATCGCGGGGAGATTGACTGACTGGCATGTGTGTCTGAATCATCATTACAACTACTAAACACACAAAACAAAACAAGAAAAAACAAAGAAACTAATCCAATGGAATTGGCCACGGTGGCAGGCAAGAACCGCACTAACCCAACCAAACCAAATCAAACCAGCAAAACCAAGATTTCAAACTATAGCGGAGGGGCAGGGTTATATTATTTCCAGTTGTCGTTTTGTGGTTTTGTAGGGTTGGACTTTGGACGCAGGGTGGGAAAGGAAAGGCACTTTAGTCAAACCAAACCCACTCCACTACCCGACTACAGTAGACTTGATTTCCCCTTCCTTCCCCGTCACCCACTCAATAATTCTCTTCCTCCCGCCTGCTTTTTTCAAACTAAAACCACTATTTAATTAATAAGTAGCTTCCCTCCCCCGACCATTGGCGAGGTGAGATTACAGTTCAGACTTTAGATGCAATGCTAATAGCTTCGTAATACTAGTAGGGGTGGAAATTTGGATTGCCGGTTGTGGGTAGTAAAATAGCGATTTTTGTGATTAGTGGTTATCCACTATTTATCATGGTTAACCCACAAAATCCACAATAACCATACTAATTATATTTATTTAGTGAATTAATTTTATAATATAATAGTATGTGAAAAGTGCGAGGGTAAAAATTAAAGTAGCTACCAAATAAAAAAGACACACCTAATCAGTTTTATGTAAGAATTTTTTAGTTTATAAAACACTATAATCGATAAAGTGGAGAATAATCAATTCATTAAAGTGAACACCTTTTGTAACTTTTATCAATATGTTTTTAATTTTGTGTGAAAAAAATACAAGATCATATTTAATTGTCATATTCACCCCTAGTTGGGGATATATGAAATCACAGCTCTCTGACACAAAAGTTGAATACCAAACTCAAAAAGAAAAAATCTCCACGTTGAGTAAGATCGATGTACAAAATTGTATCTCCGCGAACAACACAAGTGTATATAACTATAGTCTAGTTACGAACAACAAATACGTTAGTGGCGACTAGAACTCTATGCTTGCAAAGATGGATTTTTGCGAGTAACCACACCCAACCCGCACAAACCCACAGTGGGTAGTGGTTACCCACTAACCACTGCGGTGCGGGTTGTGGGTAGCATAATTGTAAATTTGTGAGTGTGGGTACCCTCAAAATGTGGGGCGGGTAACCACACCCACCCCAATATCCACCCCTAATACTAGGGATGGCAATGAGGCGGGTTTGTCTAAATCATAATCATCCCCACTTTCAAATATTCAAATTCATAACCGCCCATTCCCATGTGTAGAAGGTTTTCCAAACTCATCCCCATACCATGGGTTTCGGGTACCCATGGGGTAATACCCGCCCCACACATCCACCATTATAATACCTAAAATTTTACATGTAAATTTTCAATTGTAACATTAAATGCACATACTATATCCATGAAGTCGACAAAGTGACAATCATTATTAATATGGTCTAAAACATCTTATCCTAAAACATCCATTAATTCATAAGATAGAGTACAATGTAATCTAAATCATTATTCTCTACTCTAATACATCTACTAGGCAATAACTAACTAACATAATCTTGATAACACGAGGAATAAAGTGAAAGAGTGAAGGGAGAGTTGAGGAAAAGGAATTAGGTTTTGATTTCGGTGGGCACTCAATTGCATTTCTACTAATTATTTTGTTGAGTTATCCTCACTATCATTGATAGATTACTATTTGATCCATGTATTTTTTTTATATGTGAACACATATTCTTAGTGCGGCGGGGGAGGCTAAAACTATACCCGCCCCATACCCATCAAACGTTTTGTAGGTTTTACCCATACTCGTCCCATACCCAGTCAAAGCGGGAATTCCGCACGTTGACTGGGTCGGGGCGGTCGGGTACCCGCGGTCATGGATGTAATTGTTATCCCTAGTTCGGACCATGTTTATTACTCAAATATTTAAGAAATTTCTTAACTTCATTTCAGTCACTAGATTAATCATGAAACAAAGAGAACAAACGTCCAAAAGAAAATTAAGGTATTAGTATTTAAGGACGACGCTTTGTAGCTCTTTCTATGTGCGTAGGCACCTCTTTACCATTGGCAATTTAGATATTTCAATCTCGTTTGTATGTAGCATGTCATCTTTTCACTTTTTGTGGGGCAAGTGGGTTTATATGCAGTCTTGATCAAGTAAGAGCAATTTATGTACCTTATTACTTGCGTAAGGGCTTCATTAACTCCTTTTCCTCGATCTGTGCGGAAAGGCCATGCAAACAAGGGGAGTCGAAAGATTTATATATGCCATTCAATCAAAATTCTCAAATGACACTTCACTCGACAAGGGATTGTACTCAATAAGCGACATCATACCGACGCGACCCGATGCTCGATAAAATCTGTCATATTTCCTATGTGCAATGAGTGATTGCCTCACACGCGACGTGGCTTTACCCCACACTTTATTTATGATGAAAAAAAAAATTTATTCACTTTGTCTGGTGGGAGTTCCGATGTCAAGAGATACACTTCGACATCCATTTTACTTTTAAGAGCAGAAGACTCGTTTTGCAGAGCATGAAAACTCATAATGGATAATGATAGGCACTGTATCCACACGTTTTGGATGATCAATAGCCTCGCGAGGAGGACATCCTTCATAGCTACATGTATTAATATATCGTACCTTACCAGCCGGTTTGACCAGAAACTGGACCAAGTTCGGTACGGTCTCCGTTGTGTGGGGAAAATAGCATGTTGGCCAGTTTTGGCGGTCTAAACAGAACAAATCAAATTCTGTCCAGTTTTGAAAAAAATATGGGTTCTGTATCGCCACATAAAACACCACCGTTCAAACTTAAAGAAAATGGGGAAAAAATAGTGACTGATTTTTGGCGGAGGGACCCTAAGCCATCATTCTGCCCCAAACCCTATCGGCTCAGCCACTCGTGAAGCTCATCTCCTCTCCTTACAGCCCCTAGCCACTCATCAGTCATCCATGTCAAGATCGAGACTTGGAAGGCTGTCATCGTTCGTCGTTCCCGACTGAGTCATCCCACCCTTCACCTTCTCCCAAGCCCAAGTCGAGGTCGCTGCTTGCTCCCGCCGAAGTTCTCCAGCTCACCAGTCACTCCATCCCTGTCGAGGTCTCCAGCTCGCTACTTGCTCTGACTGAGGTCGTCGCTTGCTCCATCCTGGCCGAGGTCACCCTTCTCTCTGCTCCAACCGTTTGGTGTCTGTCTAACCGAGGTAATTGTTGAACAATTCACCAAGGTCAACCACCGCCGATTCGGCGATCACCAAGCCAATTCACTGTGTTCCTATCATTCTTTGATTTAATGATTTCTTCGTGTTAGTTAGGTGAGATGAATTGATGCTAATATGTGTATGGATCTTTGGAACCAACGGATTCATATATATAAACTAGCTATTTTGTGATTTTTTGGATTCTCGAGATTTCGACCTTTTTTTATAACATCCTCTGCATTTTATTAATTTGGAACTGACATCAAATCATCCTTGTTTAATTGGGTCATGAGAAAAATCGGAGGCCTACTCTCCCACACTTCTTCTTCCTCTCAATTGCTTAAAATATGGTCCATTTGCTGTGCTGCTTTATTTCCATTCCAGCCCACTCGACCCGACCCAGTTCCCTTGCTTTCTCTAGCACTTCACGACACACATTCCTTTAATTCTCCATTTCTCAGTTGGGAAATGTTGAACATGCAATTTGATTCCACCACACATTCCTCAAACTCCATCCTCCTTCCCAACTCCACTTCATACAAAATCCCGAGGGTCTCTGTCAGGGTTGGCGGCAACTCGATTCTACTCCTCTTCACTATGTCCCAAAATCTCCCATGCGAGTCCCGAATCACCACACCAAATGCCGTCCCCTGATCCTTCAACAATGAAACATCTACCTTAATCTTCAACCCGATTTCGGTAGGTGGTTCCCAGTTCGACTTCCCTGTATACATATGTTCTTCCGCACGCCGATTGTGATCAAGGTAATCCTGCAACCATCGCTCCGCACAGCCCATTATTTCATATTCCTCCTTATTTTTCCATTATACATGTGATTGTTTCTTTCCGACTAGATGAATCATAACGCTACCAAGAATTCACCAATTTTCTCCTAAGATTTAGTCTCCTGCAATAAACACATCCAGTTTTCACAAGCAAGCTCCTCACCTTTTAGAAATAGGTCTTTTAGAACACTTGGGCGCCATACTATGTGAACCCATGCACACTCCCGAAATATACGTTTCTAGGTTTTGATTAAGCCACAAAATGGGCACTCCCTTTCTGGATTCTGTCCACCACATTCTTATTCATAGGCAGGAAATTATTGATCCACCTCCATCCAAAAACTTTCACCTTCGGTGGTACTTTAATATGTCAGAAGCTCTT